TTGTAAAGGGGAGAGAAAAAGAAGGGGAAATTCCCCGATGTGCGTCAGTATCCAATCTGCTTCGCTTCCCCGCCGCCGCCGCCGCTGTCGCCGATGAATGGAGCGACTTGCGCAAGCGGCGCAGCCTGTTCCTCCCTCACAGATTAACAAACCCTGACACCTTTAATCTGATGACTCGGCCATCCTGCGCTCTAACAGGTAGCTGAGCCGGAGATCTCAGGCTGCTTCTGTCTCACCCTCCCTCCTTCTGCCCGCTCTGATCGGCGAGAGGAGGGAGAAATAAAGCAAATCTTGTCATGTTATTCTTTAGTTTAACTAAATGCATTTTAACATTTCTTTTTATTTTATTTTATTTTATTATTTTTTTATTTTTTTGGAAAAATATTGAATTAACTGTATAATATGTTTCCAAGGAAACTTCAGAAACGTATGTAATACCTTACCTTGCCCTCCTGGTGTGTTCTACAGCATCCCATGTTGTCACTAACAAATTGCTTTTTCTTTCTTTTGTTTGTATGTTTTTTATTTTTTTTATTTTATTTTTTATTTTTTGCTTCCCTATGAAGAAACACCTGACTACCACCCACACTGGCAAACGCATTCTGAATACAGAATCAGGGCTTTGCTTTTTAAAATGCTATGCAACATTTCAGCATTTGCAACAGGCAGAGACAGATGAGACTTTACAGAGGTTGATTGCAAAGCCTTCAGTCGAAAACATCAGATTGAGGGACAAGATGTATCGATTTGACAGATTTTGTGAAAACAATATGAGAAAAAATATAATAACAGCTTAGTGAGTCTCAGAGTCATCCATCATAGCTGCTTTAGGAAATTAGATTTGGAATATTTGCTGCATATTCTCGCGCTTCCTTTTGTCTAGTCTCCTGAAAAGAAGAAAGTTTTTTTTTTTTTTCTTTCATTATGCTGCTAGTTCAAGTAATACAAATATTTTTATAAGGAGCAAGTTTACTCCATGGGTGTTGTAGTTGTGTGCTCAGGGGTTTATGTGTCTTATTCCGACCTGGAGGGAGGGCAGGGCAGCAGAAGCAAGATGCTTGGGGATTTGGTTATCAATCGTTGCTTGGCAACCACACACCATCCTCTCATGGCCTCTCACTACTCCCCCCCCCCGCTCCTTTTCTCTCTATTCTTGCTTTGTCTCTCCCCTGCCACCTATCCATCGCTCCAAGTATACACTACAGAATCTTCCTCAGTTACTCCCCAGGTCTAATCCTCTCGATCCTGATCACATCACCTGCTGCACATTTCCCTGACAGCCTAGAGAGAAGCCAATGGTTAATGGGATGGGAGGGGGGAAATAAAGGAATAGTGAGCACTGGAGAGGAACAAACTGAAATAGGAAAGATCCAACTGGAGAGAACTGAGCAGAGTGAGCCTCTTCAGACATCTTCCTTCGTTGTATGTATTATTTATTTAATATGTTGGAAACACTACAAACTACAACCTTTCACCAGAAAATGTTACTTTTTAGTCACTACTTTGATGCAATATTTCAATCAGCTGGGTTTCCTTGGATATATTCTTTTTATACCAATTGGAATAAAGGAAAAAAAAACAAAACTTTTTTGTTAAATTAATTGCATTGTTTCAAAAGATTTATCCAATCTTTTGAAACATGTAATTTACTTTGAATCCGTGTTGGATTGAATGAGCAATACAGTATACAAATTTGTTTTTATTTAGTTTGTAAAGCGCCTTCAGAGTACTTTTTTTGTTGTTGTGAATTGGAGCTAAATTAATATTCTGAATCTAATTGGATTTAATTGGTATTTCATTGAATTTCTCTGTGACAGACCTTGGAAGACATTGTATCCATGTCTGAATATTAGCCCTGTGCATTCCTAATATTCTGTTACTGAAATAATACAATACATTTCACCTAATTCAAAGAATTCTCTCAATAGAATCCAATGGTAAAAAAAAAAAAAAATCCAGTTGCCTTTTGTTCAACATTTTTTAATGTATATGTACATAGATATTTCTATGTAGAGAGCTCAGGAAATTGCGAATGATTTTTGAAAAAAACGTAGCAATCATAATAATTTCATAAAGTACATACAAAGACATGCACTATTTAATAACCACAGTCATGTTTACCGACTGCTTTTTTGTTCCACATAAAATGCTGCCACCTACAGGGAATCCATACCATTACAAGATTGGAACAGTGATAAAAATGTAGAAAGACACAAGAGCCCTCTTGCGGCAACGTAGCAGTGCTACCAGTTGAGCCACCATGCACACAGTCCCTCAAAAATGAAATTAAATAATAATAAAAAAAAAATAAAATAAAATAAATAAATAAAAAATAATAATAATTAAAAAAAAATAAAATATATATATATATATATATATATATATATATATATATATATATATATATATATATATATATATATATAATTACACAGTGTAATGTTTTGTAATTATAAAAAAATATATATATTATTACCTAGTGTAATGTTTTGTAATTATAATTATCATTTGTATGAAAAATAAAATTCTGAGTCAAGTTATGACTGATCAGTCAAAATAAAAATATTCTTATCTGGACCAGTGTTATTGTTTAGATTTAATTTTACCATAACTGACAGCAACTATCATGTACCTATACTTTTTAAAGTTTTATCCACTAGTGGCATATTCCAGTTTGGTGAATTTGGTTTTCTTGTATTTAAAAGTTTCACTTTTTAAATAGCAATAAAAAGTGGAATCTCCACAAAAAATATAACATATTGAAAGGGTATAGTCAGTTTTAAGAAGTTGCTGCAAATCTGTCTTTTATGTTGTTGTAAAAACAGTACTTAATGTGAGCTCCTATCTGTAAAGAAAAAAGATTTTTCGGTATGTGGAACAGCATGCATAATGTCTGATTATACAAGTTTTCCCCTTGTGATAGAAAGTAGTTTAAAATAAAACAGAATAAAAAAGTCAAACATTGGATTTGCAATATAGCTCTTAATATTTATTCTTTTGACTCAAGGGAAATGTTTTTTTTTGTTTTGTTTTTTTTTACAGCACAATTTGCATATCTCAACACACCCCGTGTACAACCACAAAACCATAACATTATATGCTTTGTTTTTACACTGAGTGAAAAACAAGACAATTTTACAAGCATATCTCTTTACACTCAGCATACAGATAAATCTATACATATTTTCTCTCTTTTGAAACATAATCTGTGGTCAAAATATACAGACAAACCATCAACAAAACATGCAACATCCAAAACTAAAAGTTCCAGACAACTACTTAAGTTGAACAGATTTTTTTTTTTTCTTTTTACCACCTTGTAAGTTGTTTTTGCAGGTTCAAGGACATAATCTCATTAATAATCATCAGTGGACAGCCCGTTTTGATGAAATCTCAACTCCCCTTATAGGACTCGACACCCACTGCTGTACAATTACAAGTGTTCTGTGATTTAGAATTGCTTTGTATTTTTTTTAACACTCACATGCTCAAACCGCAGACATATAAACATTCAGTCATTGTAGAAAATAAACACTTTATGTACACATGTCAAACAACTTGAGCACATTCACACCCCTCAAGACAACAACAAATGAATGGGTTCACAATTACAGGCAACGGTTGATCTTAACAAACAGTATTTAGAATGTCTAATGAAACACAAGAGGTTTGACAGCCAAGACTGGGCAATAAGATGAGATCTTATATACTGCACTGTGTACACAGACTGCTCAGTACACTATGAGGATGGAGTAGTTGATTTCACTGGAGATTGTGCATCCCTTTTGGGAAACCTCTACATGTTTATATGTTTATCTTTTGCCACATAGATACAAAATGTACACAATAGTTCCTGCCACCACATACACTGTGACTCATTTAATTGTTAGTGCAGAGACACAAACCATGTAATTCGGAATGTCCCGACAATTAAAACGAGACAAAAAAACAAAAAACAAACAAACATTGTAATAAAGTGCACAAGCTCCATGTAGATGTTAACTGTAGTTAGCATCGATATATACTAAAATAAGTACAAAATAAAGATATTTAGTATTTTTCTCTCACCAAATGTACAAATCATAGTTACTTTTCTACAAGACATTTATAGACGATATGTTCACAGAATTTAACACAAATGCATTCAAATACATGTTGCATAGAATTACCTTAAAAGAACTAATGGTTCTTGGAAAAAATGTAACAAAAAAAAAAAAAGAAAATACAAAAATCAGTAATTATAGAAATATATTTAAAGGGGCGGTATTATGTATTTTTCAGGCACGTAGTGCCATTTTATAGCACAATCAAGTAACTATGTTACAGTCAGTGGTGAAAATGCTGTATATATCAAAAATAAGAATTTTGACTTTTCAATTTGACGCCTCGCAATTGGTCATTGTGTCTTCTGGTACTCTTTCCAACACTCCACCTTCAGCATGTCAACTTAACAATGCTCTTCCATGATGCTGTTTTCATCACCATGGAAGCCAAGCAGTCTTAGGAGCGCTGGGTTGAGAAATAGTTTGTATGATGAGCTCAGCAGATGTGCAGTTCTGCCAAGGGTTTTCTAATTGCTGCTGCTGCTAGTCTGGTGGAGCAGAGTTGCAAAGGTGCGTGGGTTCAGGGGTCTTTCATCATGCTGCTAACACCATAATGTGGTTGCAGCTTCAAGGTGGAGCTTTGGGTAAATAAGCGACATTTTGTATGAGCAAGTATATAGTTACCCCCGAATGGCTGCCACGGTACATTCAAGGATTTCTCAAACATGCGTGAAAGAATCAAAGCAACACTCCAAGGATGTTTTGATGAGGGAATAACATAACATCATATAAAACTAAAAAAAATATTTTACATAATACCCCCCCTTTAATACATATAAAGGAAATAAGTAGTGGATGGCACAACAAATATTTTACCATTTTGAGTATGGTATCTTCTGCACTATACCTTAGTGTATGAGTGACATCTTGACATCTTGCTCTTTGTGTGTTTCTTGATGGAAAGTTGTATCAGCCCTGCTTTACAATTAAACACACTGACAGTACTTCTCTTTTAATTTTTTTCTCACATTGTTTTCTTTATCTTCTTTTCTGATTTTATTGATGCGGTTGCAAAATATTAAAATATGAACAAGAACGTACATACATGGGTCCCCTGCATACACATGAGTACTGAGACTTGGCTCTACGTGTTCCTCTGACCCTGATCATGCCTGAGAAAATAATCTGATCACAGGCAGTGAAAGATGCTGGTCCACTGTGTTTAACAGGAGTCACTGAGACAAAACGTTTTTTGTGTGTTTTATAGCCAGAGACACAGAGGAGTATTTGACATTTTTTTTGTATCTACATTTTGAAATTATTTCCAGATAAAGCTAAAAGAGAAGGGCTTTGCTAACACACAGACACACAGAGAGCTTTTTAGATTTACATGTGGTTTTGACACAATTTCGATAATTTACATGTCCATAGCAACAGTGATAACATGAAGAGACCTACGTAGAGGAAAGAAAACTGCAGCAAACTAAGAGTAAAATGTTGCACAAATGACACAGATGTGTAAACATCTGTCATTCTGAACAGTTGTAACATTTGTTACATTCAACACAGCATGTGCAAGATGCTATTCTTTCTTATAGCCCCCCCCCTAAATATGATGCTTGTGGTATAGTAATTTATCCGTTGATGTTGACGTGACCCATGATTGGAGGCCTGTTCAACACAGAGGTGCATCAGTGTGACAATATGGCCTACCTTGAGCTCACAAAGGTCCATATTCACCTAAATGTTATGAGGACTGCTTTTACATTAGATTACTGGATTGTCAGTGCACCACCCACTGCCTCAACCTAGAACTTTTGTTGATATTGTCTGATAATATAATCTGACAACAAGAGAATAACTCTTATACTCTGTGTTGCATTTAGTTATATTCTGTATATGCTAATTTTAAGGTTTTAATATATATCACACTGTACAATTCTTTGATATGCTCTGTGGTCTGCATGTGGGATAACAGAAATGTTAGAAGTGCTGTACAATTAATCTTTATCCCACAGCAAAAGTTCAACAGTCTCATATTTTTTTCCGACATAGATTAGAAGTTATGTCATTAAAAAATAATTATGCGTCCCACACCACTGATGTCTGTAAAGTTTCATAACAATTACATACTTTTTTTTTTTTAAATTAATTTAAATTTTCAAACTTTTTCTTAAGTTAGTTGGTGAAGTCCTCGTGCAATATCAAAATTATTACTATGGATCACACAGCTGAACTATGTTATCAAAAACATAACTGTCTTTAAGCCATATTGCAGGGAAATATCAATCAGTAACTGCCTTTGCATGTTTGCATCCAAGCAAAGTCTAAAGAAAACTGATATTAGAAGAGGGAAACGTGCGCTGGCAGTGTTGGACTGGCAAGACATGCAATGTTATCGTCACATAGTTCCCTTCATCTAAAGATCTATAAACTCATTACATCATTTATTTAATGTTTCTGTTATCTTACTCTTTTGCCTTCTTCCTTCCTTTTTGCTTGTTATTTCTTTCAAACGACTGTTTTGCACTCAAGGGTTGGTCAGGTTAGAGCTGACGAACAGTTTGTGCCAGCTGACCACTCTCTTCCTCATGTCCACCTTATCAAGCCAGATGTAGGCTTCTCCTATCAGAGTCTTCTTCACAAACTTCCCACCGTTGGACACCAAGAAAAGCTGAAAGTACATTAAAAATAAAACACATTTCTCATCTTATTGGGCACAATAAAGTTGCATGTGTTTGATTGTATATTAAACTAGACATAGCATGTTGTAGACAAAAACGTCAACTTAAACTGTGCGCAAAAATTTAAAAGATTTTTCTTCACATGCCATTTTCAGGATTCACAGTTTGTCCTTGCTACCTGTATTGAATGTCCCGTTGGGTTGAGGGGAAATCTGAAGGTCTCATTAAAGGAAGGCTCTCGGTCATGTCGACAAACTTTGGTCTTTTTCTTGATGATCCTTTTCTGAGTGGCTACATTCACCACATACAACTTGACATATAGGTCTGGAGGGAGGTTTAAAATAAATGTTAATACAATATAAATAAGCGTGAATTCAACTCAACCTTAAAAGAACATCACATAATATGGCATGCAAAATGGAAGACAATGTCACTAAATGTAGCATAATTCAACACTGAAATGTAATGCAGTGTAGCACAGCAAAACACACTTACATAAAGTCATAGATACTTAACGTGCCTTGCAAAATCATTCCTACCTTCTCAACTTTTCAGATTTTGTCAAGTTAGGAGACAAATTTGATTGGGATTTTATGCGATTAATCAACACAAAGCAGTGCATAACTGTGATGTGAAAGGAACACAAAATGTATTTTCAAAGTCTTGCTCAACTGAAAATGTGAACTGCACAATGCACTGAATACATTGCAGTATTTTCTTTTTTTTTTTTTTTTTTTTTTTTTTTTGGAGGCTCTGTTTTCTAGAAACTAAAACATCTGCCCAACTGTCTTTACAAAATAGTTTGAGATCAGAGTGATTGAACTAAGAGCTTCTGTACTGATTGGTTTTTAAGTGTTCCCACAGATTTTCCATTGGTCCAAACTTGAACATCCTCATAGAAGATAATTTGTGGATGGAGGCCAAAACAAAATGTGAAAAAGGCATTCATATTTTTACAAGGCATTATACATACACCCCTATGTAATCACATAAACATACAGGTACATACTTGCATTATTTTAGATGGCAAAAATAAAATAAAATATATATATATATATTTTTTCCCAACCTGGCAGATGATCCGGGCTTTTGAACTTATAAGTGATATTTCTGCATTGAAGGATTTCTAGGACCAGCTGGTCTCCCTCCGTCTTCACCTCCTTCTTAAGAGCAACCTTAATTTCCCCAATTACTTGAGTTTTACCACCTGACAATAAAAGAAAAATAAATGTTTGCAATTTGCGCATTTTGATACCTTCATTTACTACCTGAAAGCAGGTTGATACAATTGGAATTCCAGAGACAGAATTTTGTTTACACATTTTAATATCAGATTTTAGTTTTAGTCTGGCTTCAGAAAACAAGATAAATGGAATTTAGAGACATGAGCTTGCCAGACTCCATCGTAATGACTTCTTGACCCTCATCTGTGTAACAATAACCAGCTTACAGCCTTACATGACCCTAGGCTTTTGTTACAAGAGGAAACTGGAGATGGGGGAGGGGACTATTGTGACATATGAGCTACATGAAGAGTAGATATAGTTATGATAATGGACAGGATAGAGTGACATCCACTCCCCTTCCACTATTTCAAGACATGCATTTAAGTCATTATGTAGAATTAATGCAGTAAACAAACAATGACCACTTAACAGAACATGTTACCAAAACACTGTTCAAAAGGGTTTAATAAGACTTTGAAAGTGGTCATATAAAATTACCCAGCAGGGGGAGACCTACAACCAAAAAAAAAAAAAAAAAAAATAAGCTTGCCTTCATTTTCTGGAGTGATTTGTTGGTTTTTGTCGGTACCATTAGGAATAGTCTTACCACTGCAGAGAAAGAACACAATTGTACCCAAAAGCAGCATTTGTTAGGCTGTGAAAATTATTGCTGGATGCATAGAATGCTAAAAATACAATACAAAAAAGATCTTACATCCGTGGGACTTGAAAAATGGCACTGTCCACTCCAATGCCCACCCCTTCATCCCCATCCATACCACCGTAGGCATCTCCAACAAGGCTTGGGGCAGACAGCACCACTGACCCTGAGACGTCACCTAGTCGGTGTCCCGGTCCTGTGAGTGACAAAATACAATGTGACAATGAGATTCAACCCATCAGTCTATCCAATAGTCAGTCAGTGGATTTGTTTGTCACTCTGCCTATATATCTACACAAAGCTTCACATTTGCAAGCATGTCAAAAAGATGAAACACCACATGTAATACCATAACCACTAACTTACACTCCCCATCTTTAAGCTGAAGAGCAGTTTAAATGACTGGATTAAGTGAGGCCAGTTTACAGAAAGCAAATACAATTGTGTTGAAAATAATAGCAGTGTGTTTAAAAATGAGTATACCTCAAAATTGTATGTTTTTTTTCCAAATATACAGATTAATAATGATCACAACACAAGCTATTACAAACTAAAATATGAAAAAAGCTATCAAATTTGTAATCACCTTACAGAAAGAGAGCAGCACTGAATAATGGGTTGTTACAGAAGTTAGCAGTGTCTCAGTCTTTACAATCTCTTAACCTTTTCTGTACAAAGTGACTAGATTTCCTGTGACTCGCTGAACTAATATGTGGTCATGTGTTTACTGGTTAGCAAGCCTGTGAATCTGGGAGCTAAGTTGTCGTGGGCTCTGGCATTGGTAGGGTATCCTATGGCAAACTGGCCACTGGGATGTTGAATGTCATTTCACTCACAGTAAAGAAACTAGAACTGGACTTTGAAGTTGAGTGTTGCCAACTAGAGTTGGAGACACCTCCACATGCGGTTTCAGCTCTGAAACCTGAGAAGGACTTGAGTTTTTCCTACTCCGAAATTAAACAGGAAGAGGTGAGTCGGGGAGCTGTGTGAGGAAACAGAAAGGATTGTTCTCTATTGGAGGAGGCTTCAGTCTTTACCTTAAGCAGATAAAGTTAATTATCTTGGTGTCTTGCTCCTGAGAGACGGTAAGAAGGAGCAGTGGCTGGATAGCTCTGGTCTGTTGTGGTGTAGAAGGAGCCATAAAGCGAAGCTCTTGATTTACTCATCCATCTACTTCAGACTTTCTCGGCTGGAATTAGCTTCCTCTGTGGAGTGACTTGTCTCTACCTGACACATAGGATGAGGAGCTCTGTCATCCAGGTGGGCGCTGAGACTAAATGCACTGCTTCCTTACTTTGAAAGGAGTCACTTGAGGTGGTTCAGGCATCTACACAGGAAGTGTCCTTAACATATCTGTTAGGTAGCAAGAGAAATTAATGTTCCACCTAGAGGAGACAGCAGGTCAGAGCCAGATTGCACTGGAGGGACTATACATATATATTACTTCTGACCTAAGATCACACTGATCCCCCAGTATAAGGGATGTCTGGCTAAGCCTGTTGCCTACACATGTTTATTTCACTATAATTCAGTTACACAGGATGAGCAGTGTCACTGTAATGAGTGCTGGGCCTGTTGTTTTTCTACTGTGCTACTACATCCACATGTAAACTATTTTCAATGTAGAAACATAATTTATTTTAAAACTTACGTGGTTAGTGATATTGAGCTGCTATTATTTTGAACACATGTATTGTCACCAAAACAAAGCAGATAAATCTTAATCTGAAAGCAAATTTTAATGGTCGTTAAAAGATTATTTTTAAAACTAGTGCGTCATTCCCATAGTTTGAGTTTTTGGTAAATATATTTTACTTCTCTCCATTTTAGTTTTACTTTAACAGATTTACTTTATGACTTTATGGTTGGTTATGTTTATCAGAGTATTTAGACAGTACATTTATTTCATGTTGCCTCACCTTCCCTCGATAGTTCAGCTGCTCTCATGGGTTAGCCGAAAGCTTTACTCTCACTGGCCGGTGAGTGTAGAGTGAGACTCCAGACGGCTTTTGAAACCTCTCGGTGTTTCTTGGTATGACTTGGGTCAGTCTCACATTTGTGTCCCGTTTGTTTAAAGTGCGGGAATAGGATAGGACTGGATGGGGTTGGAAGATGGTGTTCCATTCGTGCGTGTGTGTTTGTGTGCGTGTCTTTTGTGATTTCTTTTTTTTTTTTTTCTTTTTTTTCTGGGGTTCATTCATGTCAGACATGCACATATAGAGCAGTATTGTGACACAACAAAGTATTTAGTAGCCACAAAAGAGTTGCAAGGGAGTCTGTAGCTGCATGCTTAAAAAGCTTCAAAAATAGGCAGACTTATCTTAGAAAGGAATTGAAGTTTAGGTTGAGTTCAGGAAATCCCACAGATTAAAAGCATTGAGTGCATATAGAAGTAGTTTTACTTACTTTAAGATATGAAAAAAAATAAATAAAAAAAAGAAATGTTAGGGGATGCCATCCCAATTTGGTTTCTACATTCAGAATATCTCCAAACAAGTGTGGTAATGAGAAACCATAATCTTGGGATTGACACATGCACACTACTTCCAAAAACAGAGTAGTTAGGGGGGAGGTATTCTTTGAGATAATTTGAGGCCTATATTACAATTAAATGTGTCTTTACTGCAATGTGTCCTCTGTAATCAATTGTGATCTTGTAAGTGACTTTTTTACATTATTCTAAAAATTACTATCAAAATATAAGGTGTCCTATCTGTCTTGTTTTTGATATTAATGTTGTACTTAATTTTTCTGCTTTAAAATAGCTCCTGATTTTGTTTATTTTCATAGTATATTAGTTACTTTTAAAAGATTTATTTTCTGACAGAAATTCATTTTTGACTACCATCATCAATCAAACAATTTGTGCCCAGAAAGAAAATATGACCCAAGCAGAGTCCAAAGGTAAATGTTAAGGAGGTTAATGCAGAACAATTCAGGTTTAATTAAACAGTCCCAACAGAACTTGCATGCGTGGATAAAAAGGAAGCATGTCATGGGAGTTGTGTCATGGGGAAGGGAAGGATTTACTTGGTTGCAGACGGGACTGCTGCACGGCAGCCTCTGCGGCAGCAATGGCTATCCCAGCATCCTCAAGGTGGGCTTGAGTGACACTACTCTTGCTTTGACTTCGGGATGGGCCATGCGAGCGCAGTTGGCCATCAGAGGAAGACTTGGAGCTGCCTGGGCTGCTGTGGGACTTTTCCAAAGGTAACATTTGCATGTCTGGAGGATGAAAATTTTACTTTGGCAGATCTGCTTGTACCATGCCACCGTTTTTAAACCAAATAAAGTCTAATCAAGGCAGTGATACATATTTCAGTGTTTTATGCAAATCATTTAGATATTTAAAATGCATATGTGAAATTGATGTATTTTACCTTTGGCTGGGTCGGGGAAGATTCCATGGCTTCTGCTCTTGATCACAGAGTTCTTAGGTGAATCATGACTCAGATCTCCCTGTCCTGGTCCTTGACTTTGTCCCATTCCATGTCCCTGTCCAGATCCTGACATATGACCCTGACCTGTGAAATGTCCCTGACCATGACCCTGTGCTGACCCAGACCCTGGTGGAGCTTGGGAAGCATGGTGACTTCTGCTCTGTTCGATGCTTTCACTCTGCTCTTTCAAAGGCAGCCAGCGGGGAGTGTTGTCCAGTTGAGCTGTGTTTGACAAGTCAATCAGAACCTGAAACGCAGTCAAGTCCACACACAATATTACAATTAAAAAGAACAGATAGACATGTACACTAGATGCCAAAATAATACTACAACACAGTTCTTTGTGAAATATGCATACCTAAATCTTTTCGTATTTTCCCGTAAACGTCAATGTTTTCATTGGGGTGTTATTTGACAGATCAACACAAAATGGCACACCATTATGAAATTAAAGGAACATGGCACATGGCTTCCAAAATGTAAAGGCATTTTTCTTGTCCCCATTTTACAACATCTGGAGACATTAAAAAAATGAGGAAAAAAAATGTCCACATTTCTCATTTCTGGATAATGGATTCAGTGCTCAGTGAGATGTCCTAACTTTGGATTTTGTTTTATTACTTAATCCCTTAGCTTTCCCCTACACTCTCTGGTGTGTTTTGATCTACAGTACATGATCCTGTCTGCTCCCTAATGTTTTCTGACAATTTCCTTGTGGAGGAATTTTTGTGCCATAATCAAAGAGCACACATTTCCAGTCCAAAAGCAAGATTTCATGTCTCTTGTTGTCAAAATGTTTAATACTTTTGCTTACATTTTTATTTTGAAAGGAGGACTTCATGTCTCTCTTCTCAAGAATTGTATTGCTTGTACTTAAAACTTCTCCTTTCTCCTTGCACTCAGACTTAGTCTCTGCTTGGAACAAATCTTCACTATCTATCTATCTATCTATCTATCTATCTATCTATCTATCTATCTATCTATCTATCTATCTATCTATCTATCTATCTAGAAAGAGAGATACTAACAGATATACTAACGATATATGAAAAGAAAATCTATCAAGAAAAGAAATCTGGAAAACAGAAACCTTGTGTGAGAGAAACATTAAATGTGAAGCAGCACTTACTTCTCCAAGAAAGTCATTGGAGGAGGATCTGTCATAGTCCCACACTGTTACTTCCAGTGTCTTTTTCTTTAACTAGATAGGGAGAAGAAAAGAGAACAGATGGTCACAGACTGAGATGTGCTTATTATGCAATTAGGTGACATGAAAAAACATGTGTTTATAATGGTATTTATATGGTATTTATATTTCTTTGTCTTTTTAAGAAATCTTGTCAAAACCGTCAGGTATTGCAAACTCGACAGAAGTAAATTTATTCAGCAAAGAAGGTGGGTGTCACGTTGCATATCTTCCAACATGCATTATGTGCAAACAAGGAAATGACATCTGGCTTATATAGCACTTTTCAACCCTAAAATGGTTCTCAAAGAATCTTTACAATGAAATCAGTCATTTCCATTCACACATATTCACATGGTGAGAATATCAAGCTCCTGGATTGTAGCCACAGCTCTCCTGGGCTACAATCTTGCCCAGATTGTAGCCTGGGCAATCTGGGCCCAGGCTACAATCCCTGGGCCCAGGGATCCCTGTTCTCCCCCAGGGAGAACATTATTCCTTGATGAACATTGCTGGGCTGTTGAAATTGTGTAGCTGACATTTCTGTACTCAACTAATCTTCTAAGGGTACTAGCAAGAGGCTTTATTGGGATACTGAAAGCATCCCCGAAGCAAAGCCACATGTACTGAATCATTTGATTTATAATAGGCTTAGACATCACCTTTGCTCACAGTGGACGACAGTCTAACAGCAAAGTCTCATAGGATGTTCATGAGTGTACACTTAACAAATTATATGTACGTGTGCAGAGTACCTGCTCCAAATGGATGTTCTTGTAGATGACAGTCTGGTTCCATTCTGGATTTGTTGTTTTCTGTGCATACTTGGTCCTTCTCTTGTTATCAGCACTGATGATTCATGATATACAGCAATAAAAGTAATCAGAATTCAGTTAAAATGAATAACGAGCTAATACATTTCCCAGCTCGGTCCCTGGCATATATTTACTAGAACCAATATACTTGAATTATGAATTAGATTTGTAAATGCTGGTGCAATGGTCAATACTCAGTGTGACTTCATAAACAAACAGAGTTGTTATTTAAGCGTTGTTTATTTAGACTGAGATGCTTTTATGGAAGAAAAATGTCAAAGATAAGAATTTAGGAGTTTTGAAAGCTAGAAGCATGAAGTTGACGGAGAATGCAGTGGTATGAGTGTTGTCAAACAGAGTGAAATAAAGAATATAACTGGACAAACAACAGAGGCCACAACAGAAGGATGGAAAACCACTAGAAAACATTCCCAAAAGAACAAAATATATCAACTGAAAAGAAAAGATCAGCACCACACTACCTTGCATTCTGGACAACCATGACTTGGCTGAGGGAGTCCAGAAGAGGAAGAGGAGGGCAGATATCACAAACAAGAAAGGCAAAAAAATACGAATAACAGTCAGAGAAGCCCAGAGTGCACAAAGAAAAAGCAGTAAAGGATAGAGAGCTGAGGCAATCAATATTTGCTGCATTATGCATCACTTGTTTTGTGTCCAAATGATATATGTTAGAAAAGAGTCGAAAAACCCTGACGATGAATGAATATTGCCAGTGAAGTACCCTGAATGTGCTCTGTTCTGCTTATGTCAGACAAATGGATTTTAAAATGCTCCTCAACCCAAAGAGGTCGAGGAGCAAAAGTGTTTTAAATGAGCTCTCCTTTTTAACTTATGTTGCCTGTAGGTCAAGAGAGAGCTTAAACTCATAAACAGATCTGATGGGGCCATTATCTAAGAACAGATATTGTTAGACAGCAGCTAAAAGCCTTATTGATTCTTTCTTGTTATTCACACTCTCCTGGGAAGAGAGAGGAACAGATGTAAGGTAGAAACTGTGGAAATATTAATGTAAAAAAAAAAAAAAAGTAGAAAAAAAGTAATGACTAAGTCAAATTAGATTAATTAGGAGAGACAGTTTTGGCACCTTTGAACTTTTCAACAAGCCATGTAACAGTTAGAAATGATGCATTGTATTAAGATTTTATGTGACAGATCAACACACAATAGTAACTAACACATAAATGTTCAATTTCTTTCCAGCAAAGATAAAAAATATGCCTTAGTCACGTCTGCAGTTCAATCGCAGCTCCTTCAACTGAACCACTAGCACAAATAAACCAGAAATTTCTATCACCTCATGACAGAGGCTAGACATTGTGACTGAATTGTATATGTGACTGACTTCACCTTTTCCAGTTTTCAGCCGCCTGCACAAGCGATAACCTTGTTGGCACTGGACTTGCAGTGCAGTGAGGCGCTGTAGGTAACCAGGAAAATCCAGAGTGCTGTTTTAGTGATATGAGTATTTTCCTAACAGTCAAGTGGAATGGATTATTTCGTGAAGCATTAGAAACAACGGAAGCAGTAATATGTTATTGTTAATGTGGGCAGAAAATTTATTTATTTATTTTTTTTTTCTTTTCAATCATGACACGTCCCTGTCACACATAATGGCGCTGATCTTAAATTACGTCAAAATGCTAAATTTAGAACAGCACTGCGCGTGTGCCTGCAGCGATATTAGTTTCGGACTAGCCTAGTAAAAGCTAGCCACTTTTCCAGACATATTTATTTATTCATACAGAGGGTCTGGGCCTATGGTCTGGGCTTTCAGCTATTGTGAACACATTTGCTTCCTGGAGGGGTGCACTGAGTTGAGATATTAAGTTTTACCCAATTGCTAACATGTGCCTTTGATGCCAGTTGGACTATGACACTTTCCGGAAATTGCTCTTTGTAAGCAACCACCTTACACTGGGAAGAGAAAAGTGCCAAACTGTTAATGTTAATTCAAATATTTGGAGGAGTAGCCAACACGGACTGAATTACTTTGTTCACTTAATGTGCTATTGTTAAAACTGCAGGCAGATCCAAAACCAGCAACTTCAAGTTTCTATACAGCTATGTCTGTATGACTTTTCTCACCAGAATAATGACGTCATGTCAGCATACAACAACCTACATGGCACAATCCTTTGAATCTTAAACACAATGCAACACAGGACATTGAGACACCCATGAGTTTAAGTCAGGAGGCCAGTATCCCACCTGACCTTTAGATTTCTGTAGACTTACCCCCTTAGCCATTTCTTCAGTATTGTTTTGAATGAACATAGAAGATTTATCCTGATATTAAATATCACACATTAAAATCCCATATGATTGTACAGCTTAATTTTCATCAGAATCTTTAAAGTGGCATTGTCACTATATCTTTTTCTTTAAATCCATAATTATTTGCAACTTTGCAAAGCTCTATTACATAAATTCCTAATAAAATACATTGAGATGTTTGTGGTTGTAAAAAGACAAAATGTTAAAAAGTTCAAGGGATACAAATGCTGATGCAAGCACCTATAATAGCTGTTCTGGCAAAGATCTAAATATAATATTTTGGGTAATTCTGTAAAATATAAAATCCAAATAATCAATAATGCAGGGCAAAAGACTGCCTCATATCATCATGTCCTTCTCCCAGACAAACTCAAGGGGTTAGTCAGTGTTATACAGAACACTTACAAAGTCATAAAAAACTGGGGGAAGAGAAAATAAGACAGACTTGAAATCAAATAGGCAAACACAGACAAGACCTCAGTCCAAACTGAAGCCCTTTTTAGAGCTCACCCTCTCCCTGGTAAAAGGTAGACCTTCACAAAAGGGTCAGAGTAACCGTCATTGTCTCGGGGGGCCAAGTTTCTTGCCTGCAGAACATGTACGATCAAGTTTCCCAGATTTCTGTCATAGTTAATCTGGAGCTGTTGGGCAAAGCAGAGGGAAATGAGTGGATCACACTGGTGGATCAGTATTCCTTTGTTTGTTTGATCTTAGATTGCTGACCTAAATAAAAATCTAAATTTCCTACCTGAATTTCTCCAGTAATGGGATGAGGTGCTTTCATCACCTCTGTTGGCTAAAAAACACAAAAGAAATAGGGAATAATAAGGTTACTTGCTTGTGATTTAGTAAACAAACACACACATTTTGACTTGGCCTATAAAGGAAAGTCATCACCACCTCACCAGACTCATGCTCAACAATAAGAAATATTTAAAAGCAGCAACCAATGTTAACCATACCAAAACAAATCGGCTTGCCTCATATTTGACCTAAAAAGCTGTAAGAGAGGTATTGGCGTTAGTCTGAACTTAAATCTGATTGAGATGCCTGTGGTGTGACCTTAAGCTGTCTGTTCATGCTCACAAACCTTCGAATGAGGCTTTATAAAGCAGCTCTCTAAAGAATGTGAAAGACACATTTCCAGATATAGCGAACATCAGGCTTGCACTCATTGGCAGTCATTTCAGCCAAAGGTGGCAGTTCTTTGGTGTGTGCCACTTTCGGTTATTTAACTGCTGCTATGAGCAGCCTTTTAGGTTGTGAGCTACCTTGTGGCGTTGTTTCTTGTTGATGGCAGGGGATCCCGGTTGCCCAGGGCTTGGAACCCCACTGGAGGCTGCTGACCCAGGGCCCGAGTGGAGGAGGGCCGAGCGTTCCAACGCAGACAGGACTCCGAAGCCCCCAGGCCCTGTTCCTGCTATGTCAGGAGTTTGCTGTTGGGATACCTTTTGGAGCTCTGCAGCTAACTGTTTAGGATCCACACCAGGAGATCGCTGACCTCCTGCTGAGAGAAATATGCACCATACTCCATGCTGTATTCATGTAGCTTAGGTGAACATATTCAGACATATCAATAAATCTTTAATGCGTACCAGCCTTGAGTTGGATATGGTGATCCAGGGCCTGTGGGTGCTCAGGTTCAGACAGCATATTAAGGTCACTGCTTGGATTCAGAGAGAATAAATTATGGAATTATAAATTGCGTGCCTTAGAAGCAATAAGTCACACATTAAAAATCTGACAGATGAAGAGGTGATGAATAAATAAGATGAACAGAGGGGTGGAGGGATTCTGATCAAAGGTGCTATGTTGCCTTATTGCAACAAAATATGTGAGAGTACCTGAGAGACTGGGAGATAAACATTGACAGATGTTACTCACAGTCTCACACAGAGCTCCGCCTCTGCACCAGCCTTGCCCATAATGCACTGCACTTCTTCATAAGTCTTCCCTGTTAGCGGAACTCCATTCCATTCCAACACCTGCATCCCTGCAACAAGATGAAGTCAGGTTAAAAACAAAAGCATGCTTTTCACTTTCCAGACTTTTTATTCATTCAGGCTTTATTTCCCAATGTATAAATTAACAATATTTTGGTCCAGAAAGTTCCGTTTTCACTGCAATCTACCAAAAAAATTGACATTTGTGTCCTTTATGCAACATTTTAGAATCAGAGGACAGATGTGAAAAAATAAAGTTTAGTAGTCTTACTTTTTTTTTTTTTTTATCATTTAATTTTTATTTAAAAAATAAATTACAGTTACATGCAGTGGAATTACAGAGCGACTGTGGCTCTCAGGGTAGAGTAATCGTCTTGTGATCGGAAGATTGTTGGTTTGATTCCAGCTTCCTCCTGCCACACGTCGATGACACTTAGCCCCAAACTGCCTATACATGTATAAATGGTGTGAGTGCAAATGGGTGAATATGACTCAAAATAATTGGAAAAGCGCTATATAAATTCAGTCCATTTACCGTTATGAAATTAGTATTTAGAAACAATACACGTTTGAACCTAAAAGAGACCAAGATAATAAAATCCATGTGAATCACATCACTAACTGTAAGTAACATAGCCAGTTTAAAAGAAACACAATTACTCTGTCCTGTTGAGAGGAAATATGCTATTGTCATTTTATCTGTATGAAAAAATATGTTAATGAATCATAGCATTGTCACTATTCCCACCAATACTAATAGCCAGGTTTTCTCTCCAAAATTTGGCACTGGACCTATATGACATTGTTACTCACTTTACATGGCAGTTAATCTTCACTGTTACCCCTGTTTGATTTGTCATCTTCAGAAAATCAATTATTGTAATGTATAGGGATTTTAAGAACAAATGAAGTAGCAATTT